GGACAGAAGGGAAGTCTGTTTCTGTTTGAGAAGACAGTGATGGTGGAGAGAGTCACTGAGTTTGAGGCCTTTTGGTGGAGGGGGAAGAAAAGGGCTTTCTAGGGAGCTAGAGTGTGGAAAATAAACAACTTTGAATGTTGTGGCATATGTAAGGCTCAAAGGTATGTATTCATAAAATCAGCTTCCCTTTTCTCTTAAACCCACCTCTCTATAACCAGACAGCCTGCTGCTGCACCAAGAATTTACTGCTGTGAGCAACTATAAACATTGTGCTAATGGCAGCACTGCCTGAGAACGGTCACTGGGGAGTGCAGTGGGTGTAGTTAAAGGCCAGAGACAATATTTTCTCCTCTACACACCACAGGGCACACATACTGTGATCTGATACAACGTAAAGGTACTTGGGTAATTATTACTATTAAAAGCAAACAATCAACTCCACAGATCAAGGGCTCCTTTAAAACCTGCTTTCTAATCTGTTTCCCCTCAGATGTATGGTTATTGTCCACCTGGAAAGGCCCCAAAGTGATAGCCAGAAATCTGTCACTACCACCCCTTCTGCTGTTCTGCCATCATATTTAATTGTGTTTGCTCAACTCCAAGCCAAACTCATATGCAGTATATTTAGACGGTTAAAATAGCAGAGCATTCCGCTGTATTCACAGATTATTTTCGACACCACAATTCTTGGGAATTAATCTGGAATAAATAAGGTAACGAGAAGAGAAGCAACATAAATTTGTTCCAGTGACAAAGAAAACACTATCAAACTGGCAATCTGGAGAACTGCCGCAAGGACAGGGACAGAGAGCTCCTTTTGGTGGACTTACCTGCAAATGCAATCACCATTTCATTCACTAGTCTCGATTTATTTTTAAGTGGGGAAGAATGCAAGCAAGAAACTAATAATATGAAACTGTGTAATGTACCTTTATTATTTCAAAAGATCAATGTACAATCATTGTACTTACGCTTACATAGCATTAAAGGTAAAGGTGTAGAACTGATATATATGCTGATTTTCTGAACCTCTAAGGAGACTTTTTTCCCTACAATGGCAAACTTCCTAAATTGAAAAGTATATATCACTAATACATATTCAGGATCTTTTTTTCTGAGGTCTCAGCTACTATATATTTCTTCAAATGTCTTGAAAATCACAAGCTTACCAAGGCTTGGTTAGATACTTTTGTCAGCTAATTTCATCTTATAATTTTCAACTTGCGTTTTTTGAACCATTTAATAAATACAAACCCTATCACCCAAACATCAAAATACTTATGAATCATGGTGTAGAGAACAGACTTTGTTGCTGAAGAGGTTACATCTTGAACTGGATCAATTAATTAAAATTAAGACCAGTGTTCTGTGCTTTTAATCTGAGCCAAACTTTACATAATAATAAAAACAGGCATTTTAAACCTACAGAACTTAACGAACTGGATTTTCATTCAAATTTGAAAAATGAAAAGAATGCGTATGCATGTAGGTAATCTTTCACTTGGGATTTTCCAGAGTATACTTCTGGTACCTAGATGACTGTTGATGGAATGCCTACTCTGTGCTCATCTGTCTTATTCTGACTGAACTGACTTTTTCTCTGTATTCTTATTCCTTATCTGTTTATAAACTCAACAGGGCTTATTATATGCCCAAGGGCAACATGTTCTAGGTACTGAAAACACAGGCAATTTACATTCTTCCTTGCGGAGCAGGATTCAGAGACAACCACCAACCAGAAACTGAGATTTCAGATAGTGACAGTTCAATTAAGAAAGCAGAGTAAAGCAGAATGCTAGGGTGCCTTGGACGGTAAAGTAGATGGGCGATTAGGAAAGGCCTCTCTGGGAGGTAACTGCCCCAGATGGACAAGATAGCACTGGCCACGTGAAGAGCTGAGGAACTGCAGTACAATCACCTAACATGGGCAAGAGCGTGGAGAATCCACAGGACAGGAGGAAGGCAACAGACTCAGAACATCATGAGCCGGAGGGAGGTGCCCTCAGATAAGACCTGATAGTGAGCAGAGAGCTCATCACTTCAAGACTTTTTCTGCCTTTGGAGTCAGCACAGACCAGCCTGTGGAACAAGGGCCAGTAGTGTCTCAGATACAGGTCTTGCTGACATCACGTAGCTCCTCTTCCACGAGTCTGTGCTGCCTCTCAGTGCTCATCTCTTGATTCTTTATCTCTGAGGAGCTCATCCGGCCTTTAGACCCTCCTCCCTGCTCATCTACTCAGGTTGTCCTCTAGACCCCTGGGCCTGCTGCCTGGTCTCTGACCAGATACTTACTCTGACCCTCGTTATTGGCTTAGGTCTGAAGCATACATAACCTCAGTATATGTAATCTTGGGCACGACTTGACTGCACCGCCTCCTACCTCCAGCTCCCTGTTAATCCTCAGCGACCTTTATCATCTCCTTACCTGATCAGACTTTCACACTGCTGCTATATGCCAGGGCTACCGCCTTCCTAAATATGTATTTTCGATTTTCAAAAACACTCCCATATCCTTTAAGACTCTTGACTGTGCCCATAATCTCCATTAGGTAGATAGATAATTATCATTATTTTAAACATGAGGAAACCAAAGTCAAACAGTTAAATAGCTTTCCTAAGGCAAGCTCAAAATAGGACTGGCCTGGCCTGAGAACCCAGGAGCCCTGCTTCCCCATCCCCATCCTGTTCTGGGGATGAGGTACATCTGCTTCACTCCAGGCACTGGGGTCTTCGGAGAGGTAAGTCCACAAATGGTTCACTTAGGATGCTGAATTTGAAAACCAGGCACAAAGGACTCGAGGAGGTAAATGGAAAGAATTCCCATCTCCTCAACTTTTTTCATATTTGTGTATTTGAGTCCACTTTTCTTCATAATACTATATCCTCAGACAATGTTTTCAGCCCCGTACTTATACTCAAACATAGTATGGAGATATATTGGTACTATTTTATACTGATCTAAGGGATTAAAAAGAGCACAAGTTACTTGTTTAACTGGCAAAAAGAACTGAGTATATTCAGTTGAACCACTCTGGGTTTTCTTCTTTGGCTCTGCCTACCCTCAAACATCACGTTTGTACGTAAGTATCACTTTGTGGATGTAAGATTATAAGATAGCATATATAATTCTCATTCTAAAAACCCAGTGTTCTGTGGTCTCATTTTCAGTTAACCATGTTGTCAAAAATTCAATGCACTATTAAAAAAAAACTCTCAGGTGTCTTTTGTTCTTCTCAAGTAGATCAATTATATTCATTATAGCTTGTGGTATGGGTACATATTGCCTGACATGTACCATTCTTTAAATATTTAAGGTTCTTATTAAAATGAGATTCTAGATGTTTCTATTAAAAATCCATTACCCTTTTCCGATAGAACTGTTTTGACCTGTAACTTCTGGCTAAATAAATGTACAGTGTTCTTTTCTCTTTTGCATTCAATCACTCCTACATGTAGCATTTGGACATAAAAATGGACATCAATAGCTATTGACCTAATTAAAGTATATTTAGAATTGTTAAACAGAAGCAATAATAAGCAGTTTTGGTTAAAACCAAAATTCACTGAAAAGTGATTATTACACAGGGCAAATGCAGTAAGTTTTGAAGGATGTGTTGCCCTTAGAGAGCCATTTAGTGGATTAGAACAAGCAATTCACAGCTGAAAAAACTTAGTAAAATATAATACAATTAATCTACATGAACTCAAAACTTTACAAATAGCAGGAAAAACAATTACTTACCTTTCCTAGTTTGTTTCCAGATGGACACTTAATATGTGTACACATCACGTAACCATAGAGTCACAGGAGACAGCCTCTCCTCCACCACCCCGGCCTCCCGACCCTCCACGCAGTTTTGGGACAGTATAGGATCACCTCTGGCAGACTTGTACATGAATAGGGTGAGTTTTATATAACTATTGCCTGACATGTGGTAAGCTTGCTGGGAGAAGCCTCTGTCCTCGATGGGGAAGCTTTTGGATTGTTGACCTTTGTCCATGATGGCTGTGTGAGTTTAATTCAGGGGTGAACTATCAGGAATGCCATTGTGACCACACATCTAACTTATAGCTTTTATTTGCAATGAAGTTGACTTTTTTTTTTCAAACCTCCATCTGTGAAATACTAGAAATCTCTTTTAAGATTTTCTTATATGCACCCAGATTTCTCAAGGATGATTTGACAGTTCTACTATGTCACTGTTACTGTCTTTCAGGAAAAATGATAATTTTTTTTCCTACAATACATGGAAATACATTCTACATCACCAAGACATAGAAAAGATAATTCTTACACTTGACTATAAGGAAACAGATGATACTTGAATAATAAAAGAAGTCTCACATATGTATCTTATGTGAAAATGTGATACTTAGTGAAGAAACCCAATTTTAATTTTAATTTTTAAAGTTTACACCTTATAGTTTTCCCTAAAATCTTTAAAAGTATTTTTAAAACCATGTTAATTGACCCACATATAAAGAGAATGTTTATATTTTTGTGCAAAATAAATTACATGCATAGGGCCCTAGGCTGAAATCACATTATCATTTTATTGGGTTGTCCTGGTGTGTGTGTGTCTGTGTGTGTGTGTGTGTGTGTGTGAGAAAAATAATATGCAACCGAGGCTATAGTCAGAGTGCCAAAATAACTGGCTGAAAAGCAAAAAATTCAATCATGACAGTTTTACTTATATGTTTCCCTTGATTAGTTGATTTGGCTTGGCATTTTGTGTGCATTCATTAAACCGTTATAAACAAATGCACAGCATTATAATGACATTCAAGTCAATAACTTTTGGTGTTTACAATACTGAACTAATACATACCCAAAGATTAAAATCTGAAATCTCATTTCAGAAAAACATTTTACTGCCTTTTGCAAATGCTTACTATGGGAAAATAGCATTAAAAAGGATACTTCATATAATTTCAGATATATAAAGGATAAAAACATTCTTATTCTCCAGCCAGACCCCCAAAATCCCGAATCTTATTACCTGTTCCTGAGCAGGACACTGAAGGTCATCTTATCCAGTTCCAGATATTTTGGCAGCAAGTTTGACCAATCCCAGTTCCATTTTGTGATGGCTGACTGTTGATAAATGAGAAGATGCTATTGTTAGTTATTAATCAGAGTTAATATGATCAGTAAATTAAAGCTCCAGCTGTGATAGCCTAACTAAGAAGGAGGGGGGTCCTGAACAAGGACTTAGACAGATAACATCAATCATGTCCAAAGAAGAAGGTTTTTATTCCAATAAGACAGCAATTAATTTATAAATCCATTTGGAGATGTAGTCATTATTTATAAAAATATAAATCAATTTTTTGAGTCATTATTCTTCCAAGAGCTAATGGCATTTGCCCAGAAAGTTTCACAGAAAGCATGACTCTTTGAAAAGCAAAGCAAAATAATTGGCAACTTTTTCATATATTAATTTATAGTTTCTTTTTCTTTTAGCACCCAGAAGTTTGACTAAGAAAAAACAAACTTGAAAGAGCTGTGACTCAAATTATGAGACACAGCTTAATTAGAGTGTGATACTAATGCTATCTTTTTGGATAAGAAAATGTTTCAAAGGAGGGATTATAAGGACCGTAAATATAAATTATAAGGACTGTAAATATAAATAATATATGATTCTTTTATCCCATTTAATAAGGAATTTTACAACAGAGTAAGGAGAAAAATTACTGTGAAAGATAATCTCATAATTCTGAACTGAATAAAACATGCCATTTATTTAAATGAAGTGAGGATAATTTAACAGCCACATGATTATTTATGGTTTGGAGCAATCCAGTGTACAACACAGGAAAGCAGCCCCTAAACTCAAAGTTATACAATATATTTGGTTTAAAAGTATTACAGATGCTTACACTCCTTAAAACTAAATAGTTGTGATAATAAGAGTCCAGGCTGATGTTTAAAATCTAACAAGAACTATGCCCTGTCACCTGCTGATTAATGGAGTACTACAACCCTGTCATAGAGCAGGAGAATTCTGCCCCAGGTTGTCAGCATTTGAAGGTCTTATTCTACTCCAGTATTGATGAATGTAGACTAGAGTTGTAACAGGCATGGTAAAAATATTAGCTGCATCCCGAATTTGGCCATTGTTTTAATTCTTATTTTCATCAGAGTTCTAGGTCAAGCAATCCTTCTCTTCTGCCCTGTTAGTTCAAATAGTCTTTCGAGAAACTTCTGGGAAAAGCCACCGAAAGACTGAACAAAGCAAAAGAAACTTCAGATTTCAAATACTTTGGCATGAATATGATCTTTTCAGTGTAACTACTAAAATATGCAGCTGAGACAATGGTATAATCTGACATTAAAAAATGTGTGGTGTTTACCACATTGACTTTATTCCAAATATCCTGCCTTTAAGATGGTTAGCAAATTTATTTTAAACTCAGGAATATGTTTAGGGTTATAGAAAAGCAAATTTACCTCATGCCACGTAAAATAGAGGAGTTCAGTGCTCTATTTATAATTAATTATAAACTATTTTATAATTTATCTGATAAATTAGATAAAGGTTGCAGGTGTTTTGTGAGTTGTGTAATGGGAGGAGGGGAAGACTGCTATGAAAGGCCTGTTTTTTTGGGCCTTCGGCAGACACAGCGAAACAGATGTTCCCTCTGCCCGTGGTGAGCCGACCTGGTCAAAAGTTAAATTTTACAGACCAAACATATGAATCAGTTTGACAAATTGAAAGAAGGTAAAATAACTTTCTAAAGTCAGTCTGCGCAGACCACACAAACAAGAACAAGGCCTTTTGCTTCCTAGCAAAAAAACTTATGAGTGAATATTCAAACACAAAGCATGGATTTTTGTTGTTGTTGTGTAAAGGAACTATACATTTAAATCAGATTTAGCACTTAATTTCCACATACCTGATCTAGCATGTTTTCACTAAACGCCTTGTACACATGGAAAGGGTTAAAGGCAGAAGGCTGATCTTTCACACTCCTCAAGGTCATATTTAAAGGTCGGATAGGTAATGGCTTTTCCTCTGAACCATTCATAGAAAACAGCTGTTCTTTTAAATATTCCTTCAAGGGGAAAAAAAATTACAAACAGCAATGGTGGAAAGCATATATTCTCTTTAAAAATAAACTGATCAATATCCAAATCCACCCTTTCAGCACATTTGCTGGATCACAGTGTATTACTTGCCTCGGGACAGAATACATTTTCAGAAGAAACATAGCAGAATACCAATCAGCATTGCAATAAACCCATTAAAAACAGGTTCACCGAAGGTATAGGACAGATTAGAAAACCATTTAGCAAATTGTCACATAATAAATGTATGCTTGATACAGCAGAATCTTTTTGATAGACATTGTCTTGTCATTGGTTCATGTGTTTACCCATCTAGTCACCAAATTTTAACTCAGGTGCACAGTTACTCACAGCATAAGATTGCTCATTTATTCCTCAAGTGTAGTTGCTGCCTACTCCATGCCCAGCAAAGTGCTAAAGACTCTGATATTTCACTGCAAATCATCTTACTCTATGTAGAATTAATTATAATGCAAACTCCCGAACTCTATTTCCTTGCTGTGGACTGAAAAATATCGGGGTTCAACAGAAGCTCAAAATATGTAATTCTAATCTCCCAACTGTTAATGGCAGCCTAAGCAAAAAAGTCAATTTACTGCACTATTTTTCATTTAACAGACTTTCTGGAAGACAACAAATTAAAATAACTGAATTTCTCATATGCTATCAAATGCTTAATAAACAAAAAGCATGTTTTTCTGGTTTTTACTTTGTCACATATAATTTTCCTTGAAGATTAGGTTGAGGATGGTAAAACAGACTTCAGAGGTCATCTTGAAAACGTTTGCTACTCAAAGGCTGTTGCATAGACAAGCGGAATCTGCCTCATATGAGAGCTTGTTTGAAAAGCAGAATCCCAAGTCCCACCAAATCAGATTCTCACTGTTAACAAGATTTCTTGGCAGACTGCTAGGTACGTGAAAGCTTGAGAAGCTCTAAACCACACCACATTCAATGGTTGGCTTTGAAAGGTCAGGGGTCAAGCCTGAGGTCATTCAGGGGTGAGTCAGAGTCTGGAGGAGAAGTGGTAGAACTCTGGGGCCAGTTCACTGTGCTCTTGCCTGTGCCCCCGTAACATGAATAGAGACTCCTTACTGTACGCTTTGGCAAAGGAAAATTTCAGATCTTAAAACCCTAAAAATCTGAACAAACCTAAGTTAACAATGACAGTCATTTCTTACACTTGCTCATTGTGGAAGACTGTATCTCTTTAGTAAGAGTCCAGGTATGTGTCAGATGCCAATTTTTCTCAATATTATTAGGTAATGATAAAGCCATCAGAAAAATAATTGTGTGCCTGGATTTAGATTTTTGTACAGAACCAAAATTTTTTCTCTATCATGATTTCTGAAAGAAATATTTTAAAAAGGAATAAAATACTTTCATTAGAAAAACTGCTTTGTTTGGAATAATAATCTTTCTCAACTGATTTCTCCTTACATTGTTATATTTTGGCTTTTTTGGTTTACACAATTCAAAGAGCAAATGCTCTGTTGCAAGTGATGAACACAGTGGTGTTTTCTCCCTTAATTTCTCTGATCTTTCTGTTATTTTGACACTTGTCACTACCCCTTCTTAAGTCTCAGATTTTCTGTGGCATCGCTTTAACCAGATTTCCAGATTTCCTATATCTGGCATATTTCTTTAGAAGAAATATATTATTCTTTGAATATCCTTTCTTGACATCCTCCCTGTGCAGTTAATTCAAAGCGTATTTTTGGACGCATTGTTTTTCTATTTCTCTCCAGTGAAGAGCTCCACCAATCTCATGACCTCAACTACCACTCCTTAAAGACCATCAAACCCATAGTCCAGCCTTCCTCATGCTCATGGCCAGGATCTTCAACTACCAATTGGACTTTTATACACAGACAGCTTACCTTTATCTCAAACATTTTAAAACTCATTTTCTCTCATAATTGTATCTCTCAGTGGGCACACCCATAATTCCCCTCACCCAGGCCTGTATCCATAAATGCTTCTGTATTTATATTTTTGAGTACTTTAGCAGCAGACTTGAAAGTGCTAGATTCATAATGCTACTCATCAAATGAACAAAACATCACAATGCAGTTTCACCTACAGCATAACAATGGCTTACAGTGTAAAAGCAGCCGTAAGTATGATACTAGTATGATACTGTGGCTTTGTCACCTCTGTGTTATAATTGTTTTTATTGTCTGTGTTGTTTAGGGAGTCACAAGGCAAAGGTCTCCCTACTTTCTTTGCTTCATATTTCACCTTACATTATTCCTCTTACCTCGCCATGTCATCTCTCACTCAGCACAATAAACCACCACGTACCTAACTTGACATCCCATCTGATAAACACCACCATGATAGTGGGGATAGTCAGTTGCAGTGAAAGAAAAATCGTAACTTTAAACTTAATTGGTCAAAGTGTGGCTACAGCCAGTGAAGAATCTTCCATATACAAGACATCCCAGCATACCTGTTCAGAACCACTGCTTCAGAGTGTGGGGAAGTTGGGGATCCTATGGCCAGGATCCTCACTGAACTTAAATCACTTGATGATGTAACTGGCCTGTTTCTAGGCTACTGCATCCACACCCAATAAGCTATTATTGCACTATAGAGAGAGCTCAGTCCAGTGTTCTGGGAGGAGGGAGAGATGCTCGTGCTCGACCTACTGTTGGGAGAACAAGCCGGGTAATAAACCCAAGAATGTTCTACTGTCATTTCTTTGGTCATACTGAGTCCACAGTGAACTTGCCCGGGGCTGAAGCTCATTGGCAAGACACAGAGTTCCCTGAGTTCAAGGGGAAGACAGTCTTTGGGTTTCCTGAATACAACAGATGACCCAGCTCAGATTTGCTTATCGGTGATTACTGATCCTTTTTGCATTATGGGCCTTTTAAAAAGAGGACTAGTCTATCAGTTTGGCGATCTATACCAGTCATTACTGTCCTCAGAACTCACTCTGATACTGCCACCTTCCTAAGGATCGAGAGTAATCCCACCGCAATATCTGTTCCTCAGCAATCACTATGCTTACTCTGGCTCACCTGGCTGGCCAGGTGGACACTGCCCGTGACTACTATAATTTCCCAGCAGAGGTCTTTCAGTTAGCCAAGGCAGGAGTCCCCTAGTTCCCCAAATAGAAACCCTCAACAAGCTATGAGGGATCATTAGCAAGAGTGAATAGGTTGTGTTACTTTGTATCAATTAAATACTGAGCTCTAGTCCCTTAATGACAGGACTATTTCTCACAGCCAAAGATGCCTCTCATTCTTCTTGGGTGAACATTGAATGCATTGTTTTGTTACCTGTTTATCAACTGGTTGATTAGCTCTAAGATGGCCAGGCAACAAGATTTACTTGAAATAACTTTCAGGTAATGGTAGGAAGAACATTTATATAACTGAGTGGTAAAATGCTGTGGTAGAATTTAATTCACTCCTTGGAAATGTATAGTTTTTAAGACCTGCCTCACTGAGATAAAACACTGGTATCTTCATATTATTCAAAATACACAATTTATACTATTCCAAAAATTACATTCATGAGTTTGAACATGTAAACACAAATCTAATTCACTTTACATGTCACATTCTAATTCAGGTATGTATGGCCCAATTAAAACCTAAGTTGGCCAAGTTGTATTACTTCAAGTAAATAAATTAGATGTCCCCTTTACATTTTTGCTACAACAGCCAGAAACACACAAGGTCAGAGGTTTAACCCCAACAGAGAGGTGGACAAGCATGATGTTGGTTCTAACGAGTGTCCACGCATTAATGCAGTTCCTCAGGTTAATCTAGTTGCTGCTGAATATGGTTCAATATCCTTCTGAAGTTTTTCATTATGTAAGGAAACTCCAACTTCAGCAATGCAAGTATGACATCTGCAGAGGAGCTGCATCTCTCTTCATAAAATTCTTTATTTCATAAAGCCCCAATTTCAACATCAGCTTAACGATCACAAACACACAAGTCCCAAACTACACCTCTAGTCTACACAATTCAGAAGTGAACTGAGTTTATGAGCCGTGTTATTGTTTAAATCATATAAGTAAAACCTACTTTGTTTCAGTGAAGCTTCTGTCATATGCAGAACAGCCAGGGCTGAATAGATTCTATTAATAATACATATTGAGTTTGGTATTGACTTTAAGAAGTATGAACACCTCCATGACTAACCCTTAGCTGCCAGCGCTCGCTGCCTCAGGCCAGTACACACCTAATTGCTCGGTAAAAAGGCCGTTTCCCTACCTCATTGAGCCGCATGATGTGATAAATTTGCCGCAGGTACTCGCAGCCACCTGGTTTGTGGCAGATATCCAGGACCATCATGTTTATTTTCTGCTCAGTCAGTTCGAGAACAGTATCTCCTTCTTGTAAGGCTGTGCTGTTCTCTATTGTCATAAATGCACTAAACACAAAGAAAGCACATAAGTTTCAGTGGCGAAGAATTGTAAAGATGGAAAATCATCAGAGAGACTGAGTGTGGAGAGCCTATGTAAATCTCACATTCAAAGCACCCATGAAGACTTCGCTCCAAAAGGGAAGCCTTCTCAAGCTGCTGCTGCTCAGATAAACTGTGCCTTAGAACTAAGCACCTGAAAGCATTTTTAAAACTTGAATCATTTCTTTTGAAACATTTCTTTATTGCATTTATACCCCTATCTATAAAACATTTTCCCATTACTGTAATTGTTGAAATTGCTATAATAATAGGATGAAAACAAAACATTTCTTTTTAAGAACATGTAAGAAATAATTTGTATTTTCTCTTTGAGGATAAAAAGTATCTTTGATGCCAGAAATAGCTTTGGTAGTCTATCTTTTGTAATTTTTCCTTTACACCTGTCTTAGAACGCATTAAAGACTAATTAAAGTGTCAAGAGGGGGAGCCTTTTATGCTAAATATTCACTGGGTGTTTCCTGGCAGTGTACTTACCAGTGGGGGTATTCTAAATTGGCCTTTTGTCACTTGTTGCCTTTTAAAAATATATGCCCCCTCTCCTGTTCCTTCTTGGTCACATACTTAGCAAAAGTCAATTCCCTGATTATTCTTCTAGGAAAGGGCTGTATTATCACCACACCAGGAATGTGCAAGTTACATTTGTGAAACATTTCTTTTATACAAACTCATATGCTTATTGTTGATTTTCAACATTATTTACATGGTAATAGTGGATGACATACATTTTTAAAAAAGTTCTCTAAACCAGTGCAAAATAAATCACGATATTCAACTTACATCATATATACTCCACACCAATTTCCTTATTACAATTGCTATTAGAATCATGTTAGGGTTTGCAATCTAAGTATTCTTAAGAAAATGCAGGGTTTTCCACTGATTCCCAGACTAAATGAAATTTACTGTGCTGTAATCAGCTCTATACTGCAGTTCATTACTGAGATTTTGCCATGATTATAATATTAGTTCTGCTAAGAGTCAGTGCCGCTGACCTGAAGACTGAACCAAATGATACCCAGCTGCTGGACATTAACTTTTATATTACTTCCACATGTAGCTTCAAAACATGCTTCTTAAAAAAAATCTTTACAATATAAGCCTTCCTAAAAAATAAAGCAAATCCTACTCTTATAGATACTCATTAGCTAAAGTAAATCCTTAAACAAACAAAAATGATCTTGTTGCACTAAAAGAAGTTTGTAAATATCTTTTTGAAGCTGCATACAGGTTGCAAGCAAAATTTCTTGTCAGGTTTTGTAGAGGCTGACATTGAAAAAGTTGAGTCCCTCTGACAAAGGAGTGTCTCAGTGTCAGCCCCTGAATTGTATCCTTTCCTGTCCATCACTATGCAGGTGAAGCAAATGATTGGATTCGGTCAATGCTATGATTAATGAGTTCCTCCCTGGATTTGGGACTGCCTATCAATCATGTCATTAGGGAGAATGTGCCCTGAAAGAGGCAGACCTTAGCCAAGGAATAACTGCATTAATCTTAATCTGTATATGCACCCAACCAGCCAAGTCAGGGTCACGATGATGAAAAACAATAATCTCCAGCTCGACAAATTACTTTGCAAAGGTAGACATTTCTTTACTTTTTGGGCTGTGTGCCCTCCAGAATCTAAGTTGACTGTTTACAGCCTGAGTGTTACTACAAAGTGAAGGTTATTTTAATGAATAGTAAGGCTTTCAGGTGGTATGCAAGACAAGCAATGCTTACAGCTGCCACCTGTCCACTGCAGTCATTTTCAGTTTCCACAAAATCCAAGCTAAATCTGGATGCAAGTAAAAGAAATCTAGCTAAATGATATTGTGTAGTTCCAAGATAATCCTCATGGAGAATTAAGGTTTTATTTAAATCCTAACAGAGGAACTATTTTAGTTAAAATGCTTACCTCTCATATGTATTTAAACAAATTATAATAAAGCCAAGGCAACCTTCCACCTATATACAAGCATCATGGCTTAGAATACATTTTCCTCATGGTATAAATCTATGAACTAAAAGATCAATGATTTGTGAGAAATACACAAAGGTGAAAGTTCACTTGTATAACAGGTAATCAGCTACAAATCAAAGTCAAGAAGAAACATCCCTATAGTGCCCAAATCCTGTAAGACGTTACCTAAAGTGAGTTAATCAGCCAGATTTAACCCTTTTTCAAATAAATACAATAAAAAATTTTTTTAATCTGGATTTTGTTTTTTGATATTTGAGAAACAGAAAAAGACAGCATTGTGCTAAGTACATAATTACATAACATATATTCAAAATCTTTGAGGGTCATGTTTTACCTGAGGATTTCAGCCCTGGGCAAGTTCACTACGGATTTGGTGAGACCAAGAAATGACAACAGAATGTTCTTGGGGTGAAAGGGTTTATACCTGGCTTTATTCTTACTATACCTTATACTTTAGTCAAGCACTAGAATCATGTCTGCATCCAGCAGTCTGCAGGTCCATAATCCATCTCCATCTCTGCCTCTGCATCAGTCAAATGATGACTAAACAAGCATTTTACACAGTGACTCAGTCAATAATAGCTCACTGCCAACAGGTGTGGAAACAGTAGCCTAGCAGTAGGCCAATTACATCATTAGGTAATTTCGTGTCAGGTGAGGATCTGGGCCATAGAAACTTCCATTTTCTCCAGAGATATAAAAAACATTTTTAAAAATCATCAATTCTTCATTCTGGATGCATGTTGCAGCAGATAGCTCATCAGTCAAGTATCAGCTAGACAACACCCTACAAGGAGATACCAGATGTGTTGGTGCTGTTTATAAAAAAAACGTACACTAAAATCAACTTTTAAAGAAAGATTTTTGTTTATGGATTCCTGTATGTGCCCCCAGGTATATTACTGAGACATTACTTTAAATTCATCTTATTGATAAGTGCCTAAATCAACAGTATCACAAATTTTACTTTGTAACTATAATCAGATTCACTATTTTTACTCTTCTTTTTTCTCTCCCTTTTGTAACTATTACCATGCATAATGATATGTGGCCTTAATCTTCTGGTCATTGGATTAAAGCCTGTAAATTGGTACTGAATGCAAATGTAAAGACTAAGAAGGTCACTGTCAATGTTACTAAGCATTTTTCTGACTTGTATTGTTATACTTATCCACAGAACACCCCAGAAGTAAATTTCTAGGAGTCTTATGGCAAGACCAAGACAATCATGATTACCTACATTTCTCCATATGGATTAATTACAGATAAATGTAAACCAGTAAAAAGTATTCATTATCCTAATACTAACCAGTGAGTGCAATGCATTTTAATAGCATTTATAAATAACAAATGCTTATTAGTTCTAAGCTTGATGCTAAGAACTTGATAAATGTTATTCAATTTTCCTAAAATAACTCTTAACAGTTTTGTATCATCACTGAAAATGAGACTTTGAGAGATTCCATAGCTTGTACAAGATGGCCTACTGTGGGGGAAATGGAAGTTCCTATGGCCAGCATTCTGACCTGATACTAAACTACTTGATGATGTAATTGGCCCACCGCTAGATTAATGCTCCCACACCTTGGCAAAGAGCTAGTACTGACTGAGTCACTATATAAAGAGCTCTTCTGGGTGGAGGCAGAGATGGAGGTGGATTATGGCCCTGCAGACTGCTGGGTGCAGACATGATTCTACTGTTTGACTTACCATCATGGGAATAAAGCCGGATATAAACCGTTTTACCCCAAGAACATTCCTTGTCATTTTGCAGTCTCACCCAATCCATAGTGAACTTGCCCAGGGCTGAAACCCTCAGGCAAGACACCCACTCAGAAGGATTTGTATATGTCCATCTGATTCCAAAGCCTGAACTCTTTAGCACTACCAAGTATTAGAAAAGTAACAACTTTTAGTAACTTCAGGCACAAATTATAGTATCTGTTAGCAACATGAATATATCTTAAAGAATGGGGGACAGTGTGTGTGACTGGTGTTAGAAAAAGAGTCTGGCTTAGTGATCTGGAGACCATATGAACTGTAATTCCTTTACTGATATCACGCAATTCTATGCTGAAGACTAATTTTAAGACAGGAGGACTCTATGTACTTACTTAAATTCATCAGGGACCCTTAAAAATCTTTGCAATACTACAAATCACTTAGCTCTTGGTGACAAACCTATGAGAATGCTGACATTTTCATACAGAAACAGCTGGGTGTGTTTATAGCTCGAGTGTGATATGCCCCAGTTGCCCTCTGGGATTCTTACATTACCAGATGAAAAATGTGTACCTTTTTGACAATTAGGTACACAGAAAGCAATAAAAGCCTTTTATATCCATTAATTCTCTCTTAATTTAATCTCCATGCTGAATCCATTTACAAAATGCTTCAGGCTATCCACTAGCTGGCTCCTTGTTTGCCTCCTGCAAAGGAGTGAAACCAAATTCTCCTGGGTATAACTACCAGCCTTTTAAACAGAAACCTTAAGGTGATGACTAAACAAGTATAATATTCCAGTGTATCAAAGAGGTTCAAATTTTAATAATACAAGGAACATCTAACAATCCAGTTTTTTTAGTAGACTACTTATCATTTCACATATTCACTAAAGTTCCTGTGAGTTAGTAAAATCACCGTTGCTGCCTATCTGACAATATTTTGATGTTTATTGGTGATTTTGTTATTGTGAATGTTTGATGGAATTCAGTGAAAGAAAAACACCTCTTTACCATTTGGAGCTCAATTTCTTTGCTTTCAACAATTGACATTCAATCCAGTTGGGTTTTTGCTGCTCAATGCTCTGAATGACCTTTTGGGTCATTGGATTAGGGCTACTTGTCTGCTCTCCCATGATGCTTTCCAAACACACAGAGATTAAACCGAGTTTCTCTTCACTCCATCTGTCAAGGGAGGCACCTGTTAAAAGTTCCACAGTGTTTCCATCCTCAAATATCCGACATATAATTACAATCAAGTTCCAGACAAGCAGGCCAGCTTTCTTCAATTCAGCGAAGTTTTCTGACATTTTTCTCTCAGACAGAAAAAAGAAGTATTTAATTGGGGGAGGCAAACATGCAATCACCGTAGGTAACTTGCTGATTACAATAGATACTGCCTGAGCAGCAAGCCTTGTGAAGCCTGGGGATGAAAAGAAAGAAAAGGCATGATTAATATTAGCATTTGCATTCCATCACTGTGTTGTTTTGAGTGCTGTGTGGGAATGTCTAACTTTTGCGGAGAAAATTGTTGAGAAGAGCAAGTACTTGATATTTTCCAACAGAACTCTATGGGGTCCTCTGAAGTACTGCCTAACATTCCGAAAATCCCCAACTTCTTTTTTTCTCCCACAAATGAAGATTAGAAACTTCAGAATTATTGTTTATATTTTCATCTATTAAGACTGCAGGTTTAAAGAGCCCAGATGTCCTCCTAATTAACAAATGCAAAGGCACTCCTGCTAGACCTCTGCAGCTTTGACACTTCCTTAAGCTTTCCTTCCTCCCTTAGAACCCATGGCAGAATCACACCAGTTCTTGTCAGGTTTGGCTCCTCTTCTTTCTGTTCTTAGCCCAGATGTCACCTCCTCAGAGAGCCCTCCCTCATCATCCCATCTAAAGCAGTCCCTTCACACCCTTCCCATCCCAGCCGCCAGTCTCTCCCTATGATTAGAGCCTCTTCTGTTGCCTTTATCTTACCACGTATCATCACCTCCTGTGTACGTTCACCGCCCATCCCCTTCATTAGAATATAAGCTCCACGAAGGCACTGCTGTATCCCCAGGACTTAGTACCTCATAACAGTTGCTCAGTAAATATTTGTTGATTAAATGAGTCAAACAACAGGTTCACGGTTACCTCTACTACTCTTCTCTTTCCTTTGTGTCCTGGGCTAACTCCACTTTCTACCAATACCTCTTAAATGCGGGTATTTGCTAACAAGTCCTTGGCCTGCTGGCTGGTGATTCTACACACTCTCCTTTCTCTGAAGGTTTACTGATATTCCCTCTCTAGATCAGAGTTTCTCAACTTCAGCACTGTTGACATTTTGGGCTGGATAATTCTTTGCTGTGAGGAGCTGTCCTGTGCATTGGACAGCTTGGCCCTCCGGAAACCCCCATCCTTCCTGAATCTCCTCACCCCTACCACATCTGTCTTTTTACCTCCTTCCCTCCTTCTCTTCTTTCCTTTTAAACCTTTAACCTATTCCTGTTGATCTTTCATACCAGACCAGGGACACACTGATAAATCTGCCTACCCCTCACCTCTGAAATTCAGTGACCATGGCTACTGACCTATACAAGCTATTCCTCAGAAATGGTACCTGGACTACTGTAGTCCTCTCCTGACTCTCTCCCTGCTCCAGACTATGACCAGCCCCTCCACTGAACTGTTAAGCCAAATTCCTATACCATAAATTTTATTATCTAATTTTCTTCTAATTGTTTTAGTCACTTTCTGCTGTCAGGGGAGATTAGTCTCGGAAGCATTACTGTTGAAACACTCCACAGTCCAGCCTCAGTGAGTTTCTATAAACCTTTGTTTTACCCCCTTTGCTTTTAGGCTACTGAACATATCATTACTCTCACATGGAATGTCTTCTCTCTTTATGAGTCACCCATATTCTTCAACTCTTAATTCTAAGTCTTCTCAGATAATTTATTTGAACATATTATCCACATGACTATTTTGGTAATTCAGTCTATAATGTGCCATGTTGTGTCATCATTTGTATTGTCATGTTATTGTTTATGTTATATTGTTATTCGTGTCTTCATGAGTTGTCTTTACAACTAGACTAAAAGCTCCTCAAGAGCATGGAAAAAAATCTCATTGCTCCTAGTATCACATAAAGCCAGGCACTGTTTTAATCTATCATGTACATAATTGAATTTGAAGACAGGAATAGAATGAGAAGGCTAAAGAAGATAGCTTTACATTCTTCAGTAAAACACTCTTTACTGTTTTTACTGAATAAAAATAATAAAAACAATATGAAAGATTTTTCAAGGTATTTGTGACATTTAAAGAAGCTACTCTGCTCTAAAAAAGAGCAAACCTCATGGAAAACATATTGGGTCTACTGACTCCTCAGAAAATCACAACTTAAACATTTTAACAATTAACTGGAACAGTCTTTATAAATTTGTAATAATTGGCTCCAAAAATATTTGAATGATTTCATAAGACTATTATACTAAATAAAATAGTAAGTGTAAAAGCAACTAGTTTGGTATATGGTTAAAAAAAAAAAGTTGCTCAAGAAATGTTTTTTTTTTCAAATGAATATGCTTAGATGAGGCTTAAAATATAAATAAAGCAAATTAAGAAACTCCTTTGTGACTACTCTTCACTGTGTTCTTAAATTATTCTAAATGTTTTATTCTTTATATGTTTGTGTCTGATACTCCTTGTTCTACTGTCAGGTGTTTGATTTAAAAGATTAAACCTCATAGTCTGTTTACCCTAAAGAGGGTTTAACTGAAAACACTGAGTGAACATTTGACAATCTCAGCAGATACCAGATTAAGATCTAAGATCTAAGTAGATCTAAGCAGATACCAGATAAAGATTACCAATTCTCTTCATACCCACACTTCTACATTGTAAAATCTGAGGACTCCAGGTATTCAGATCCCCAACTACTTCATTAAAGCTTAAGACAAATTCCAATCAAAACCTTTAGTCTGATGACAAACTAATAAATCCATTATAATAATTACAGGGGCTGGAGTCTATGATGATATTAACAACACACCAGGGAAGGATCTTTTAAAATGCTACATACTCATTTCTCTTTCTTTAAATAAGTTGACTTCTATCCAAGCCCCATACAAGTAATATATCATAAGGGCCTTTACAATATACTTAATCATTTCTCCTTCCTATGCATGTACTACTGACTTTAATAATATATTTTGTGGATTATAAAACATGTGAAAAGTAAATTCACAATGAATGAGGTAAAGACAAGATAATGTTTTAAAATCAATTTCTTAAATGTTTATAATGGTATAAAGTGTCAGGAATATATTATTGAGTAGGATAATGTGATTTAATGTGCTTTATTACTTTTAAAGACTTGGCTTAACACTTAATGATACAGTGATTCAAAGGTCAGGTTCTAAGTTCAGTTTGCTTTAATACTTGCTTTGAGTGGCTGTCATAGGTGAAAAAGCCACAACATGAACATACATAGATCCATGTGGAACAAGTTTATCAGTAACTCTGCTTGCAAAATCATGGCAAATTTTTAATCTCATCATCAAACAAGCAAAGGCTATTGAAATTTGACTAATAAATATTCATCATCCATGATATCAATTAGTTTTCTTTGCAAACAAATTGAAAAATATTTTGTTCTTGTATTTTAAGAAAAGTGTTCAGGAATCACTGAAGCTCTTATTTGGAATATTTTAAATCATGTTAGAAAATTCTATTCCTAAGTTCATAAGTGTGCAGCTATGATATTCTTACAGATAGTGGTTTTTCCCAAACTTAGTTTTTAGAAAATAAGCTATCTTAATGACTTCTGATAGCATTTTGTGTATATCTGCCATCAATTCCTTTCTTAACAGTCTGCATGTGAACAATGCATGAACACATTTTCCTTGTACTGTTACCTCTACTTCCTCTCCAGAATCCATTGTTTCAGTTAAAACAATTACCCCAACAGTTTTCCCATAAAACATCTCTTTTATTTAAAAGTAACTTACTGCTAAGAAAATATATTCTCTAGTATATCTCTTATTTAACTGTCAAAAAAGCAAAGCAGCTAGTTATTTGTATATTTGCTCTTTGGAACTGAAGGAAACAAATACCTAAACTGAGCTGTATCAGAAAAGTGTGAACTTTCATTCAATTCTTTGGTAAATCTCCTACACTGTGTAATTTATTGTAATATTTACTTCTTTAAATCTTTAGTGTTTTCTGTGTAACAGTAGTTCCTGACAAAGAAATCAAGAAATGCATTTTAGTTTGTCACCACACTGTCTTCCATGTTCCATCATTTTCATCATGTCGGGAAGGACAAATACTCCCTTATGTTGGTGATTATCTTTCAGTAAGTTAGAATCCTCAAAAAAATCCTCTAACCATTTATCACTATTTAGACAAATTTTGCTAAGTATGGGATTAAACATCATTTTACTTAGCATTGTTGAAAACAATTATAGAGGTTTGTCTTCATATTTTGTATAATTAGTTGTAAAATCTTTTACTAATCAAAATGACTTCCAACTATCTTTAGGTAACACCTCAAAAGCACAATACTCACAAGGGATTCATGTTTAATAATAATGCATGGGAAGCTATATTTCAAATGGTTTTCCCACATATTTCCTTTTCTATTCTTTTTGGTTTTTTGTGGTTTTTTTTTGGCCGAATCTAATCAGTCCATCATTGTTTTACCTTACAATATGGTTGTGAAGGAGCTTATATCAGGAATAGAAGTGTGAGCTTTTTCACTTTGTCATTGTTTGCTCTTCCTTGCATTCCCAATATTAGTTCATACACTACTGTTGATTTATAGGAAAATGTTAAAGCCACTTGGGTGTTTGGTGAGGTTAATTTTGCTAAAGCTAGATTCTGAAATACAGAGGACAACCTTACTTCATTACTGTGTGCTGAAGGCCAAAGGAGAGAGGTTACCCTGTCCATCCTTCCCCAACACACGTCTGGCTCACTAATAGACCAAGGGAAAGTTCCAGTGACAATCTCCATATGAAATTTTAGTAAAGGTTATTTCTTCCTTTCTTCTCACACACCAAATTATCTTGTACATCTCCTGAGATATTTGCACCCATCTGTAAAGTTATACTAGAGAAGGAGGTATATTATTTTCAGTTTATATCTGGTCTCAACCCTAGTGTCTGGTATGCAGCAGTAACTAAGTTAGCAAAGAGCTATTGAGTAAGTGATTAATTGCTTGGCATGTAAATATTATCTGTCTTGTATATTGCAGTAAAAATAAAGGTTGAGTACTGTTAGTCAAAAAAGGGGAGAAATGAGGAACAATGGTGTTCTTCTCGGTCATATTCATGTGGAATGCACAAAATGTTTTACAAAGATACTTTCATTCATTTCTTTCTTTTATATATTTATGCCATTTGGCACAGCTCTAGGGTTGTCAATAGTATAAGTGTTGTATTTCTGCTCTTAGTGGAAATTATATAAATAAAATTTAGTAAGGAAAACCACAAGAACTGGTATCTATCTACAAAGTAAGGCTTTCTGGGAACCAGAAGCTCTTTGAAATGTTACGGAAGAATTCTGAAATGTTTGTAGAAAGCAAAATTGTTCATGACTAGAACTACTTGAAAGTCACAAACAAAATAGTGCTGCTCATATGACATGATATGTTAACTATACATAATGCCTTCTGAATGCTCAAAATCTATGAAATATCTAAAAGCTAGAATGAAGGAGAGATGGAAACAGCCCCGACAAGGAAGAACTTAAGCAATGAAAAGCTGACATTTTCCAATTTCAATTAAATGGCTTTACTGGATTCAAAGGCAGTTTAATAGGACTTGGATAGAATTAAAGCATTACTATGAAAGGTCACAGATAGATAATTGCCTAGAGTTTGTATTGTAAGGTCCCTGGATAAGAGCCACATTATTTAGGATCTCCATAGAGAAGAATGAAAGAAAGGTTCGTCCCTTCAATTGGCTTTAGTGGGTTCAGCTGGAGTATTTCACTGTGGAAAATTTCCTCAGAGTTCGTGAAAAAACTATTCTTCTTTAAGGATGAATTTATAAAGGAGAAACATTTTATTTTAAAAATCCTAAAGAAGATTGAATATAGACAGATACATAAAACACATTCAAAGAAATGATGTGAAATTCTCAGAAAGTAGAAACAGCTAGGTAGGAAGAAACCATTTAAGAAGAGAAGACTTAATTAATAAAATAAATGAATAATATGTAACTGATGGTTCTTAAATAACTTTAGTAGATGCACCGCCCTGCATAGGAACAATGTACTGAATTCAGAATCATAGGTATTGGGAGTAAAGATACTCTGTCAGAAAAATACCTAATTACTAAATGTGGTGCTGTTTTTTCTACCTAAAAGCCACAAATATAGATGTGTAAACAAGAGTTGCAGGGGAAAGAGTATTAAACTGAATATCAAAGCAATCAATGGATTTTAGATTATTTAATAGATTTAAGGGAAATCTATTAGTTAAAACCTTGTGACTGATTTGTGAATACTAGCATAAACACAAAATATCACATAATATTCTGAATTCATAGTTTTGATGACCATTTGAGACATTTTCATTTCTAGTGTCCTTGATTATATGGCTTGCAGCAAAGAAAATTGTGGGTCCCAAATATACACAGTAAAAAGAAGATTAATAAACTTTACAAGTCTTACAAGTTTAAGAATTTTGCTTGATCTCATACCCTAGAAAATTGTTTCTTCAGAGAGATGTTCTAACAGAAAAAACAAAATATACCTTTGCTTGATTCTTTCTTTTTTGCTTCTTCTGGAATATAATTCCATTCTTTTGGAATGCTCTCACACAAACGTTCAGGAACACTGGTCTTGTTTAGGTTTGGCTCACAGTTTCTCCCCGAGTTCATCAGAGATATTATCTGCTGTACAACGTCCTTGACAGCATCAGTCAGTGCCAGTCTCAAGCATCGGATTACCTCTAGCTCAGACTCCATACATGTTGAGACTTTAAAATCAGACATCATATTACAGTTAGCAGAATTTGGCAATATTTTTCACCCTGTTTGATTGGGAATTTAGTTTCCCAAAAATCTAGTTGAAAGCTTAGGAAAGGAAAGCTGAGCTGTTTTTAACCTAGAAGTCATATAATTGATAAACAGTCCATAAACATTTGAATAAAAAGTTTTTCTTGGTAATAGAGGAAAGGGTAATTAAAATAACAGTGAATAACAGTATTTCCTGGTAATTTCAAACTCTACTGGTGGAAATATAAATTGCATGACCTTCCTAGATGACAATTTGGTGATAATATAAAAAGCTTTCACACTTTACTTACCTGTTAACCCACTTACTCCTTCTCTAGGACTATATCCCAAGAAATCAATTATTATCACATATAGGACATAAATAAAATGGGAAATAATCTAAATGTCCAGTAATTGGTGATTTGTTTAATTATCTAAGGTATATCCATCTACACAATAAAGCCGTATATTGTTTCATTCAAAAAATAAAAGCATCTTAGAAAAGAGTATGACATACTATTTTCATTTTTAAAAAATACATATCTACATATATATATATATAACATAATTAGAAGATATACACTATAACATAAATGGTGATTATCAGTAACAGATGGAATTTCAGGTCATTTTCCTCTTTCTTCCTTCTTCTACCTTTTCTTCTTTCCTTCCCTCCCTCTCTTCTTCTGTCCTATTTTCCTTCCATCCCTCTCCCACTTTTTTCATTCCCTCCTTTCTTCAGCTATCCTGTCTTCTTCCAGATTATATTTTTACCCACCATGAATATGTAAGACTTGTATGATAAATACATTAAAAAAAATATGACTGGCAAGTATATACAGAAACAGAGTGAGTACTACTATACAAACACACTTTAAATCCAACTGATTTATCATCAGAAACAATGTAAACCAGAAGATAACCAGAATTAAATCTTTAAAGTACTGAATGAGAAAAGAAAAAGAATGACAATAAAAAATCTGTCAATCCAGATTTTGTATCTTATGAAAAATATTTCAAATTTGAAGGTGAAGTACTTTTAACGCCATCAAAGCTAAATTAAATTGATAGCAAAAGATTTGTAATACAAGAAATGTTAAAGCAACTACTCAAAGTAGAAGAAAAAATGATACCTGTTAGGAACTCAGACCTGACCAAACAAAAGTACCAGAAATGGTAAATATATGGATAGATATTAAAGACGTTCTTCTCATTTTTTAATTCTTTAAAATACATAAGTGGATGAAGTAAAAATAAAATGACAAATTGTAGAGTTTAGAACACTAGTAGAAATAAAATGAATGAAACACTAGCATAAAGGATAGGAGGGAGTAAATAGAAATATACTGTTGTAAGTTTCTTACATTAGTTTGTGAGGTGATATGATATTATTGAAAGGTAAACTGTGATGACTTAAAGATACATATTGTAAACTTTGTAACAACTACTAATATAAACAAAGAAGTATATCTAATAAGGCATTAGATAAGATAAAATGTAATACTGAAAAATACTCAGTTAATCCAAAAGAAGGCCAAAATAGTGGGAAAAATAACAAAGATTAGATGGAACAAACAGAAAGCAAATAAATAACAATGCAATTATTAGGAACATGTAGTTCCAAATACTAGAACAGTGTCTACAAATAGTTGCATGCTTTTGCTCAATTGGCCATTTAACTTCAGAAAAAGGCACTGAAGTAATTCAGCTGGGGAGGAATAGTGATTTCCAAAAATGGAGCAGGAAAAATTATATATTTGTATGAAAAACTATGAATTTCAACACTTACCTCACACTACACAAAAAAAATCAACATGAAATCAATCATAGAACTAAGTATAAAAACTAGAAACTTTAAATTTCCAGAAGAAAACAAAATAGAAATCTTGGCACTCTTTAGATAAGCAAATAGTTCTTAGGACACAAAATACTATTCTAAAGAGAAAACTGCAAGTTGAACTCATCAAAATTACAAACTTTTCCATATCAAAAGACCTTCTTAAGAAAATGAAAAAGTAAGCCATAGGCTAGGAGAAAATTTTTATCAATACATGTATCTGACAGACAACTTGTGCTGAGAATATATGACGAACCCTTTGCAACTCAAGACAAACAATCCAATTAATAAATGAAAAGCTATGAACAGATATTTCACAAAATAATTTTTTCAAATAACCTTTAAGGCCCTGAAGAAGTGTTTGATGTCACTAATTATCAGGGAAATATAAATTAAAACCACAATGAGATAATATTATATATCCCTTAGAATGACTAAAATCAAAAAGACAATTCCAAGTGTTAGCAAGGGTATAGAGCAACCAAAACTCTCATAGATTATTGGTGGGAATGTAAAAAGACATGATTACATTGAAAAACAGTTTGGTAATTTCTTATAAAGTTTAACTCATGGGATGTATTAAAGACATTTATCTCTTAGAAGAAAAAGAGAATCAAGGAATAGAAGGACTGAAGAATGAAGTAATTTATGCTTTGATATTTTCATTTGCCCAGCTAAAGTTCACTTCACCTATTTTGAGGATAAAAGCTTGAATGACTGTGACCAAATCTACTTCTCATATAGTGTATTGGCCTTTGAAATGCCCATGTGAATTGCTCAACTTAATTATTTTTTGTATTTCTATCCTTTGTATTTTTTTAAAGAATATTTTCACTCTTATTCCCCTCATCCAGCTTATGTTATTCTAAGGGGTTAAGTGTTGGGCTTCTAATTACAAAATCAGATCATACATTTCATTACTACAGTCATATGTTCATAATGCAAAGATTTTAAAAAATTTAGTATAATAGAAAAAAATAGAGAAATTACATAGACTATGAGTCAGGTTTGGTTTCTTCTGATTCTGCAACTTAATCAGTGGACAATCTTAGTCAAGTCTCTAAACATTTCCATTAGTCAGCAATAAGATGAGGATACCGGCTACTTCATCCTTGCCTTTCCACCCTAAAATAGTAAGACTGTGACACTTTATGGGTAAGCTATAATGCAATCACTGACAGCGTTTCAGGAGAGGAAAATGTACTACTTTTAAAATAATGTATTCTAGTTATCTGAATAGGTTAATTATATTTACTGAAACATAGATCTATTAGTGGTAAAATGCAAATATTGTGGGCTTATGATTATGTGTCTGGTGTATTTCCTGTAAACCTGATTTATTTTCAAGTTAAATTTATAGTAAAAGGCTTAATTCTGTTATGAATTAGTATATTATATTATTTTGTTAGGGTTTTACAATAACCATGATTGGTAACAGAAGAATAGGAAAACTTTTGCAAAGACTTAAATAGAGAAAAGACAAAGGTACATTCTGTCATGACCAGTGAAAGGTGTTAGGTTCCAGAGAATATTTAATGTTTATAGAGAACAACTTGTACAAAGATGAGGATGTTTCAACAATTTGAAATTCTGCCCCTGTGAGACTCATCATACAATTTGGGCTCTAGGAATATGTGTAATACCTGTTCCAGCGGACTTGTTTGACCCTGTGAAGGAGGATTGCTCAATGTGTACAGAAGAGAAGACTAATTAGGACCAGGTAGCAGTTCTGGTTTCTTGCACCAGCACCTGCAGTCCATTGGTATCTTCTAGGTCATTTTCACTATAGTTTTGTTCTGAGTATCAAAATGGTTCAAGAACTTAAGAGTTGAAGGATAAATAAAGGTTGAAGCATGTGGATCACCCATTCTTTATAATCTTGTGAGAGAATTCAGTTCTTACTTCACCAGAACAACTAAAAATGGGGGGAAGGGTTGTTTTTCTTTCAGTTTAATAAAGTCTACAGATGAAGTAATTCAGTTTTTTGACTAGAAAATGGCCCCTCCTTTGGGAAAAGAGAAAACAGTGAAGGAATACATGGAAACTAGGAGATAAAACTTGACAAGGAGATAATTATTATGAAGTTCTTAAGTGACAGATTCAGATTGTTGAAATCATGAGATAAAGTTACCTATTGGTATTTTGCAGAAATAATGACCTAGAGAATATGCAACATAATGACTTTAAAATAGCTAAAAAGGTATCAGGTAATGTCTAGAGGATATTCAAAAAGTCCAGGAAAAATAAAACCATGATTATTTAAGTCAGATATTTTATATACACCTTAGGAAATATTTTATGAAAATGTTGATTCCAAAACAGTATATATAAGAAAGTTTACAAGTTGAAAGTCAAATGTAAATGATGAAAATGGTTAATGGACCAATAGGATAGCCATTGTCTAAGTTCTCACCCTTCACTTTCCCAAGGTAATAAGTTTGGAGATTTAAAGCCAGGATATTAAAGATAAAACAATGTGAGGATCTTTCCACCCGGCCCTGAAGGTGGGACAACCCAAGAACACTTCTTATTTAGGTATGCTACCTGCTCTGCCTTTAACATCTTCTCTAGCTGTAGGCAGGACAACAGTACAGATGAGGAAACATATTGTCCCCAAAGCAATGACAGGCTTGCTTGTCTTGGAGAGAGAGGCATCATGGTCATGATAATAATACCTTTTACATATGAAGAAAACTGACCAGCAGTTTTGACTATCAGTTTCTTGAACAAATGCATCCAAGAATCACAGAATATGTTTTCACATCTTACTAATGTCTTATGTGCTCAAAAGCAGAACATAATCTGTGGTAAATATTAAATTAAATTTTTATGAGAGAACATTTCCTAATAATAAAAAAAGAAGAAAATCTGAATTGCATAATTCCCCCCCTAAATCTTTCCCTCTCCTTGCCCCACATACCATATTTTGATAGATTCCTAAAAGAAACCTTTATACTAAAAAAAAAGTAAGATAAACTTTTACAAATAACAGACTCAGCAAAACTGACACCAATAAAACTTTTTAAACACCTGTAAAGATATATTTAAGTATCTATAAAACACTTCTTTTATAGATAGTAATTTCCCATACCTGGAATGTTATATAAAAAGTCCCATAATTGTTCTTCTTCCATGTAACTCACAAAAACATTTCCAAATGTATGTGGAGAAAAATGGCAATGGTGTAATACTTTAAAGATGCTTTCCACCAAGCTGCATCCTTGGTTCAGATCATTTTCTGTATCAGAAAGTTGTTCTTGAAAAGAATAAAAATGATTTAGTAAGATAGGTATCAGTAAACAAGATTAAATGCTTATCACTTACTCTATCATAATGCAGCAAAAATGTATTTAACTAATATTTATATAATAAGAGAAATGCCATATCCTTTCAGATTAATGAACATCTAACCGAATACTGTTTCTGAGATAATCATGGGTATTTGTGGGGAAAAAATTGTGAGAAGGTCCACAGGGACACTTCAAAGAGCAATGCCAGTTTCCTTTATGTCCGAATTCATTTTTCTCTTAAAGAAACTTAAAAAAAATTTATCATTTAAGAAGTAATACACATTCATTCGAGAAATTGTAAAATAAATCCAGACAACTAAGAAAATGAAACTTCTTTTAATCAAATCCTACCAACCAGTGATAGTCTGTATTTGGTATTGCATTTTCATTTGTATTATACACAAATATACATGAATGAATATATGTATATATAACTTAAACACCAAATAGAAATCTTCTATACATAATCTTTTGTCTTCTAAAACCTATTTAAAACTAGTTGAATCTTTGTATCTCTCTTTAGGATTTGTGTTCTGAACTTACTATACCTTTTATTCAGAACACAAATTTCATGGAACATTCACATTTATAGTGTTCTCAGAATTATGCTATTAATTGTACAAATAAATTTATAAATGTTCTCAAACTCATAGACCTTGTCATTTCAGAATGAAGAGCTTTATCAGTTGGTTTCTCATTAAAACTATTTAAGGAATTCCCACAAAGACAGAGCCATTTTAATTGTCCTTTGCAGCCCTCCTATGGCTCCATTATGATTTCCTCAAATATCAGTATCGTAAGTTCCTATATTGTTGCATTATAGATAGGACTGGAAAGGTAAAATAATAATGTCTATTTTGTTCATATAATTAGCATGATATGCCCATATCATAATATATAAAAATATTCATTGGATTAAAGATAATGATAATTCTTACATCTTGTCTCTTATATTTTAAATATCTTGAATAAATATAATGTAGATTATTTTGGAATGAGTACATTTCTTTTTTCTTACTCATTTGGAAACTTTGATATTTCCTCTGGATAATTTTATTTCTGTGATTTGATTTATATGATCCAGAAAATTTTCTTCAGGATTTTTTTGCAGGAACTACTGGTAAAATAGAATTCTCTTTCTATTGGGGTTCCCATGCAGGTAGAAAGTAGGCTGGAAGCTACCAATAGCCATTTGGGGGAGAACTGGACTGATAATGAATCCAATACAGTAAGAAGTAGAACCAAGAGACAGAGAGAACATTCCTGATGAGATGATACTATTTGAGAACCTAGATGGAGCAATGTCTCTGTATTTGCAAATTTTTTTCAGGGAACACAGAGAAACCACGGAGAAGACCATGTCTCAGGAGTAGAAATTTATCAGCATGACAACGTGAGGTGGGGGCACCTCCCAGGAGGACAGAAGAGTTGGTATAATGGTGAGAAGATAAGTAGCTGGACAGGGTAACATGGCTAAAGTGTGACTGGTTTGAATGAGCAGGGGATGAAGCTGGATGATCTACACAACTTCAGTGATCTGAGGCCCCGTGAATCACAACATGACGCCGCAGCTAGAGAAAAGGGGCTGCGTGTGAGGGATAATTACAACAAAAATATTACTACTATTGTTTTTGTTATTACCATATAAATGTATCAAGATACTTTAATGAGATGTTATTTTTTTATTTTTCTCTATTCTTCTTTGCTCTGGAATAAAGTAGTCTACTTCCATTATTTGATATTTGAAAAGAACATATAGACAGAAGTTGGTTGCCCTCTTAACATTAAAAAAAGAAAAGAGATAAATCTATTGAATAGTTATTAGTTTGTACTCCATGAAATAGCCATTTTTGTGGGTCAGAAAAGGTAAAGTATTGGGACTACTATATGATACCAAAGTGGAATCCTATGTGTCCTGGCAGGTGGACAGGGACAAGAGTTTGGAGGGCTGAGAGAGAGGAGATGTCTGGGACTGCAAAGAGGAGCCTCTGGTCTGCATGGGGAGCACCTACACCTTGCTTGCTGGCAGTGACCCAGGAGGCTTGTGAGGGTGAGGCTCTGAGGGAAGCAGGGTCCCTGACGCAGGCTCTCAGTCTCACCATGGGTTTCAAGCCACACCTGACTGCTGCACATGGACAGGGATAAAGGGTATCTGTGCAGTAAGTAGGGTGACCAGGTAACTGATGGGCAGTAAGCCCTCTCAGGGTCCTAGGCACTACCCTGGAATACTAAGAATACCCAGGGTTAGATGTTCCACCAATCTGATAGGATAGGTTGCAGAATCCTCACAAAATTGACTTGAAGACAATAACTGATTTTGATATCTCTTGTGTATTTAAGTTTATGAATTCAGATTTATACCAGCTTTGTAAAAATAAATTCAGTACTCACAAAGTAATTACTCTATGCCAAACATCACGTGAGCTGCTTTACATCTCTTTCATCTCCATAATACTTCATGGAATTGGTGTTGATTAGCCCACTTTTACAGATGAAAAAGGTAAACTTGACAGAAATTGGGTTATTTGTCTCAAGGTCACAAAAGTAGTAAGACTTTGCCTGTTTTGTTTGCATTAAGCTAGAATATCAAACTTCTAAAAGCCTGCTTTGATAATTTATTGACAGTAACCTCTGAATGCAAATTACTCAATCCAAACCAAGTATTTGGCATGTGATAATTTATTGCCTTAATGCAAAAGATTTTAATTTCTTGCAGCACTCTGCAATTTCACATGCATTATCTCTTTACATCTTTAGTACAGATTCTCAATGGATATGCACCTTGCCTTTAGGTATCTCCTAATTGCACCTAGAACAGGTTACATGTTTTAATACTAAAGACGGAAGGAAGAAAGGGAGGAAGGAAGGAAGATTTCCCTTGAGTATTTTTGTTTGGGTTTTGGCCCATCCAGAAATTACTTTTTGGAATGACATTTACCTCCTAGTCATAACATGACAAGATTTTTTCCCCCTAACCCTCATCCTCCTCATCTCTACCCTGTTCTCTTTTTTATCTATTTGGAAACCCTCTGTTCTCTGAATTTTCTAAGGTCATAGTCTCTTAGTTTCCAGGCACTTCATTGGTTTATCTTTTCTGTAACTCTCTTATCATCTTATAAAACTTCTATCAAGGTGGCAGACTTTTTCTATGAAGGGCCAGATGTAAATATTTCAGGTTTTGCAAGCCATTTGGTCTCTGCCTCAGTTACTCAACTCTACTGTCATAACACAACAGCAGGCATAGACAATATATGTATGAAGGATCAAGACTGAATAAAAGTGTTACTAAAACAGGTTGTGGAAGGGAAGGGGCACTGGCCCATGGGAATCCCCCTGGAACTATTTGGCCTTAGTCTTCCAGCTCATTGCTTTATGCCTGGCTGAGAAATTCTGTTATCCTTTGATTTCAAAGATCGCAGAAGTTTCCAAATTCTCCATCCCTATATCCGATCTTCATGCTCCTTACTATATTCTCTATTTCTGTCTAGGACACGATCATTGTCTCCAAGATTACTGTTTGTAAATTTTTATTACTTCTCTGAATTGTTAGATGTAACAAAATATGTAACAGATATCTCTCTCCTCATCCCCTTTTCCATAATGAATCAAATGTTGATTTTTTTTTCCTATTGTCCCTTCTTCTTTGTTCCTAACACTTTTAATATGGTTTAGGTTTTCTCTACTTCTTGTTTTAAACAAAACTCTTTCCAGAATGTACATTAAATCTTAACTCCTCTGGCTGCCCTTGAAAGTCCTATATTACCTATGCCTTACATATCAGGACTGACTCTTTCCTATTATTCTCAATATTCCAAGGTAATTTCTAAATTGAACCTTACCCACCATCTAAAAAGACCTGGCCAGAGTGATCTTCAGCAGATCCCAGATGTTTCTAAGGTTTGACCCTAGAAACCTAGTGAAAGCCAATACCTGTGTGAGGTATCATCCACAAACGTTTTTTTTTCACATTTGAATCACCTACACTATTGGGATATTCTTCTGTTTCTTTTTCATTCTGATATCACCTATTTCTTGCAAGAAGATTCAGCTAGTGTTCTATTACTTTAACCCCCTTTAAAGTTGGTTCCTACCCTTCTCCACATGCAGGTCATCCCTTTCCTTTTCCTTTCTCCCTGCCTCTGAGCCAGACATTTGCATATTTAATGTATAATCTTCCAGATGTGTCTCTATGGGATCTTCAGCTGTGAAAGAGATAAAGATCAGTAAGTTCTAAATCTGCCTAAAGTATACATTGTTCAAACAAATGTCATACACTTAGCCTCACCTCCCTCAATCAAGAATTCTATCTAAGAGGAATTTTCCTATCAGATTTACATCTAACCTAGCTTGGACTCTCGTATTTTCCTCCCCTTTAATATAAGTCACACCCTTATCTTTCCTCAGTTCTCACTGTTAGAGAGGAAAAGAGACTTCTTCGTGGTGAGTTTGGGGCGGGGTGCTTGGCTCCGCTTCTGGGGCCGGCCTGACAGCGGCCCGCTCTTCACTCTGTGCGATCTACCAGAGCGCACTCTGCCACTGCAAGGGGGTTCTGTGGGCTTCCGCTCCGTTGGTGGTTTGGCGGGCGGTCAGAGGGGAGCCAGGGTGGTTGGGGAGATGGAGGGATCAGTTTAATTTTGGAGAGCAATGTGGGCAAGCCACATATTTCAAACTATATTCTCTGTTCCAGATTTTACCGATAATAAAGCTTCTATTTTGAATTCCATCTGCCTCTCCTTTATCAAATGTTTTATACATTATATAAACAAACATAAGATTTGGAAACAGATTGGCATTTCAATAACATTGAAGGCTCCTTTTCACTGCAGACATTATTTTAAACCCCTTTTAAGAACTGAACTTGTTAATGCTTCAAAGGAAGTGGGGGTGTCAGGTGAGGAAGTGACCACCAGCCCACCAGGAGACTGTGTTTCTTGGTACCAAAGATTTACACATATGTGGAACACTAGCTGCTTTCC